TGGTTACAAATCTTATGACATGTATTTACACACGCACACCCATGTTTGCACATCAATACATTAGAAGGGCCAGGGCAGGGCAGGGACAGGGCTAAACCTGAGCTGTTTGAAATATATTCAGTAAGCAATTTGACGAGGGGGGTGTCATTCTCTTGTTAGAAAAAATGACCAAAATGCATTCCTCTTGTTAACCTGCCACCCCCTAGCAGCAGAGAAGTCAGGGGGTTGTTTAGTTAAAACATGATCCTTTATCTGACTGATGTTTGTGCATGTTACAATCTATGGTCCTGACCATCGCTCTGAAGTATCAGTAGCCTAACTGTGCTGTGTATTGATAAATTCCTGTTGCTGTCTGTGTTGCTGAAGCAGATCTGTAATTGCACCTTTGTCTCTCAGTCCCGCCCTTCTGTCAGTTTCATCTTGGATCTATAATATTCTCCAAACTAAATAATAAATTACTCAGTTCTGTGTTTATTTTAGCCCGTATACTCAATAGAGTAGCGTAGCCTTCATTATCAAAGTGACAAGAAGAAACATGTAGCGAGAGGATCACAGAGACACACTGCTGCCTGTAGTGTTCCTATAATATTTCAGTAGCATCTGTGCTGCTGAAAATACACCCCCAGACCCTGAATTTACAAATGGGCCACCCCATCCTGTTAAAAATGAACAAAATTACTGTAATAACTACTAAACATCTTTAAGAAAGTCACACATATAACTAATCTCTGTAACTAGTGTTAGCATTTTAACATTAGCATGCTGTAAAATACATAAACTCTAATTTAATGTTAAACTTTGCATATTTTCTAGTAACTAACATAGTCAATTACAATACAATATGGACAATACTGGCCACTGTGATGCTGGTTAACCCCCTCCTCTAGAATCTAGGCAGGAAACTGATCTTATATTTTTATAACAATAACAGGAGTTATATAGAAGCCACATGCAGGCAGGTAAAAGAAGCCTGGGACCTCGGAGGTCTTGAGGAGTTGTTATCCTGGTGTGTCTTTACGCTTTGCAAAACCCAGTGAAATTTTAAAAATGGCTCCTGCACTCAAAAATGCCTGGTTTATCCATCATCAAGTGTGCTTCACATCGTTTTACATTGTCTGATTATTTCCCGAAAAACTACATTCTTTTCTTGATTCATTCTTTGACAATAACCTATAATAAAAGGAAATATAGCCCCAACTGTCTATCTACAGTATATTGTAGCAGACAGCTCATGAATTCCCTTAGTTAAATAGACGATTTGGGACTTGAAAACTCCGACAGTTTGAAGGAACTGCTGGAAATAATCCATACATCATCTATATGAGCCATGTGGTGATACAATTCCTTCCCTATTCTAACACTGACAAATCTGAGTTAAGCTGTGTGGCTCTGCTCCAGAGCAAATCTGCACAAGACTGACACAGACCTGACTCTCACAAAGCCTCTGCCGGAGCCTGAGAACATTTACAAGATAAAAAAAACATGGAAACAAACATTTGTTGTGTGAGTGTGGGCCGTGTGGTAACAGTAACAGGGCAAGCAAAACAGTCCAGATGCCCTTCTCCCCGGCTTCTTCCTCCAGCTCTTCCTGGGGGATCCCAGGGCGTTTTCCAGGCCAGATGGGATATATAATCCCTCAGTGTGTTCTGGGTCCAGCCTGAGGAAATCCTTCCAGTTGGATGTGCCTGAAAAACCTCCACAGGCATCTAGGGGGGCATCCTTATCAGAGACCCAAACCATCTAGGCTGTCTCCTTTCAATGCAAAGGAGCAGCACTGTCATTCCAGGTTAGTCCAGGCACCCTGCAAAAGAAACTCATTGCAGTTGCTTATATCTTCAATTTCACTATTTCCTGCTCATGACCTAAATCTAATAGTGGAGGGGTTGGCTGGGTGGGTGGAGGGAGTTCCCTGTTCTGTTGACTCTCTGTTTTTTACCAAATTAAACCATTTTTGTGGCAAAGTTCTCAATTTAAAAGCCAACAGGTATACGGATACAGAAAACATTTGGAATAATTCTTGTATTGAGTTTGTTAAATCACTTTTTCACGAGGCTGCCCAAATCTTTGTTAATGGACTAATTAGGGCTTCTCACAATCTTTTTCACATCTTATAAAAACTGAGCTCAAAAATAGAAATAATGGAGATACCAAAGATGTGTCTGTGTGTGTGTGTGTGTCAGCGGGACAGTCTGCTGAACACAAACAGCCATCACAGACAGTGACGCAGACTTGACAGGTATTGTGTAAATCGACAGATCCCCTTAAAAAGCAAGAAGGCACTGTTCGCATCTCGAATGAGGGCAAACCACAAAGCTTTGCCTCCAAAGAACAAAACACCTCGACTTTTTCTCTGTCTCCCTTCTCGAGTGCTTGATAAGAGCTAAGAGCCGCACAGAGACATGAAGGCGTTGTGTGTGGGCTGCTGGAGAGTGTGGGATAAAAGCATCAAGGGTCTGTACATGACACAAGAGGAAGAAAAAGCCAAGAGATGGCCACATGCTTCTGGTAAACAGAGATGTTTCATTCTTTTTTTTTTCCAGTCACATGGGAGCAGAGATGAAATGGAGATGCAGCCATGTTAGAATAAAAGTTGACAACCTTCGTGCGTACAGAACAGAGTTTGTAGTCTGATATAAATTGGTCAAATATATTCTGTGTATCCTATTAAACAGGGATCTTCGAAGGTTCACAGCAACTCTATTGTATTTTGTTTATTCTCACCTCTCTTATCAGTATACACTACCTGCCAAGTACCAACCAGCAGACAGTCACAGTTATCTATGAACACAGTGGAGCATTTAGCATGACCTTCTGTAAAGACCAAAAGAGAATGAAAAAGAGAGTGAATATTGGACTGAACTCTTGAATATGCTGGATGTGTGAATAAGCAGTTGCTTGCTAACACCATATCAACTTTATATATCTATAATATGTCCGTGTTGCGTTCACAGCTGCTGTGCTTCCCCCAAGTGAACAATAGTCTATAGTCTGAACCTACCATAACAATTATTTATCAGAAAGTGACATGCAAGAGATGGTCGAGTTCAAAATCAACCACCGACATAAATATGTGTAATTTGATTACGTTGTGGGGAAGCACAGGCACTAAAGTGGCCGCAGAAAGTTATTTGAACTGGTGTTACAAACGATGCGGTTGGCAGCCAAAGATATTAAAGATATTGCACTTAAATCTGGGCACTTTAAATTGATACTGATTCTTTATAATGGTGCAGCTTTATTGCGTTTATGAAGAAAGGTTATTGGTTTCTCCCTCTAAACTGATTGGGGAAATCTGGCAGGGACTCGCTGGTGTGCTGTTTTCACCCTTTTTCACCCCTTTCCTCTTTTTCGTGCATTTTTTATAACCTGGATACTGGTGAATCTCTGACATACTGACAGATGTTCTCATTTTTAAACCCAAAGTTACACAGCTTGCAAATAGACAGCAGGTTATAGTTCTCTGTGATCAGACTTCGATTTAGGCATTGTACATCTCTCTCTGTAGCAAATCCTTGAAAGGAACCCCAGGTGACTCAGCCCCCACATTTTCCACCTGTACCAAAGATGACTAATCCGTGGCCTCCTCCGCATTACACCTCCCCTCCTCTGGACCAACACTGCAGTCACTGCTGCGCTGGCCTCAAACAACCCTGAATATCGCTGCAGGTGGACAGACTGACACAAGGACAGGTCAATCCACAAGTCTCTTTATAGTCCCCTCAGCTGCACCACTTAGTACACAAATTAGTCCGAGGTTTATTTGTTAAAGCTATTTGGACAGTGAAAGCATTTAGTCCAGGGGAATCTGCGCAGGGGGTTATTGATACTTCACAAAAGGTACAGCAGGTTTTCTTTATAAAGCCTAGAATCCCTGCGTCTTCTGGAAATCAGAAAGCTTTTTAACAAGACTTTATTATTGTCATGATAATAAATATGGCAGCTTAGAACAGAGGTAACCATGACTATGACTCTGTTTCTTGCCATGAGTCAGTTAAATATGGCAGTTTGTTATAATTTAATCCATTGTACTTTTAAGACTTCTCGTCCATGCTGGTGTATGTTAACCATCAAAGTTCACCTTTGAAATAATACTGTAGTTTCTACCAGTAGTAAAGTGTGACAAATGAAATGGTAACAGCTACTACCGTGTACCATAAGGATAAAAGCTCAGGAAAAAGCTAATAAGTGGACAATGAGCTGAGATTGTTTCGTCAAAAAATCTAGTTTGAAGTATCTAAAGTTATGTTAAATTTCTCCCATAGTATATGCCTATGTCTATCAATGCATCCTGATCCCAGAAAGTAATGAATACTTTGCTTTAAATCTAGGCTACATACATGATACCTATTTATGGCATCAAAACCAAACAAATGTATGTACAGAATAGACTAAATCATTCTTTTTTTCTATATTATTATAACTCCTGAAACCAGACTTAATCTTACAACCTGGAACTGTTCAGTAAGACAATGGTACAGTGTTGTGTGGAAGGAATATTAACTCATATAGAGTAACAGTACTTTATCTTCAACAAAGTTCAGAGATAGAAAATCTAAATCTTTTGTTATCAAGAAGAGAAATGCTGAATTATGTTGCTATCATTTCATCTCTTTTAGCAGTGGTGACCAGCTACTACGTAACCTGTGTAGAAGAAAACATGGGCGAGGTGGTTTCTGGCTGGGAGAGCAGTAAAAATGCAATCAGGTGAATCAGTATGAAAGCGGAACAATAGGAGCCTGAGGCAGACACAGTCCAAATCCCAGACCTCTGCCCTCTCCTCACTCACTGCAAGATACAATCAGACAGTAGCTCTGCAGGAGGAAGTAAATCCACTTCCCCTCTGCCTGACATTAGAGGGGAAGTTGTTCTTAGTGTATGAGAGGGACGAGGGATGAAAACATTATGACAAATGATGTTCACAATTCATAAATCACAATTAAAAAAGGTCAAAGCAGTATAGTGCAGAAACACAAACAAGTCAACAGGACCACAAATTGATACGGCATTTATTTATTTCAGAAACTTTAATACTGTGATCACTGCAAATGTCTTTTTCATACCTTTACATTTTACAAAGACAATGGATCCGGGATGTAAACAGTATTTTTAATTCTGTAAAACGTATGGTTCTCTTGAAATTGTGTGCTTTTTATTAGTTCACTGTTTAGTTTGTTCTTCCAACACAGCCGTGACTCTGAGCTTTGTGAAACCTTCCTTCCTTCCCTGCTGCAATCACTAACCTCGCAAGTTGTGCTCGACTGAAAACCGGCAATCCCTACAGTACAAAACAACATCCAGCCTGCTTCTTGTGTGATCAGAGATGCTTGAGGAAAAGAAGGGTTGGAATTTTTTATGTTTTTTAAAGTGAATTAAGTCAAGCACCTTCCTCTGTTTAACGGGAACTGCACTGGCCGGAAAACTACGGAGCAACATCTAGACGAGATTGCACAGGAATGGATCTATTCACCCTTCTTATCCAAAAACCTGTAAACACAATCCTTTTTTATAAAACACTGTGCAAAGGTTCTTAAAAATAAAAGATATTACAAAATGGAACATTTGAACATTCACATTTCCCATGTCCTTCTGAAAAGCACCAAAAAACGGAAGCAGAGGAAAGAAAGAAACTATATGCACAGTAAAATAACTCAACATTCACACTGAAGTAACTGGACTGGGGTGTGTGTGTGTGTGTGCGCGTTTATGTCTTTGTATAAGGTTGCTAACTGTATCTAACATCCAACTTGATGCACACTTTTAAAGATGCGAGCAAAACATCTGCACTGCACAGTTTGTCATTTGGCCATACTTCATTTGAAATACAAAAAACTAGAGCACTTTCCATGTACAGTAAAACATTACCTATTAGTCATCATTTAAGCATCGACGTACAATTTACAGTCAAAACTTCCTGGATCGGGAACATTTCTGCCTATATGACTCATACTTGGTGTATATTTTGAGGATTTCACATTATTGGATGACTACTAAGACTGCTTTTCACAACTGGCCACCTTGTTAAACTGTTAAAACGACCAAATCATCTCAGCAAGCAAAACACTTGACTGTTCACTGGTGTTGTTATATAGACCGAAGAGATTCTTAAAACAGAACCAAAAGTTGTTGCATCTTCACTGATCTCCCTGCAGAGCTGCAGAGCTGAATGTCAGTTATAGTAAACATCACATTTATTTAGGCTTGTTTATATTCTCTTTACATTCAGGGCGGGTGCCGTTTTGTGTTGTACGCTGCAGGGTTTTAATTGCATCAATTTAAGATGCAAATTTACTCTAAGGGATTCAAAAACTGGGAGTGCGTCTTTGATAGCAAAGGACAGGGAATTAAGGCTTACACCACTTTTGTGAAGAACCACTTCAATGTACATGCTCAAGTTAGCGACCTGAAATAAACCCAACACTCTTATTGTTGTCAGACAACGTGGCTGCGGAAAACAGCTTTATGGCTCCTGCTTGTGTTGTAATTAGCTTTGTGATTTGGGGAAACATTTTCTTCCAATACACTTTTATTACAGGGGGCCAGCTGCACTGAAATATATACTGCATGTAACTGAATGCAAAGGCACACACACTGACACATTTCCATACATTTCACACACCCTTTGTCTGGAGGCTAGCCAACCTGATTGTGTTCAGTAAACATATTCATATGAACAAGAGAAAGGCTGAAAGCAGATTCCCCCGTATAAACATTTATGAGGCAGACTCCACAACTGTGAGTATGAAGTTGATTAAAACTCAAAAAGTGTGTAAGGTGAGTGTGTGTGTGTGTGTGTGTGTGTGTTTATCCAGGTGTGTTTATTTTTCAGGATGAAGAAGAAGAGCCTTTCCCTTTCATCTGTTCCCCAGGTGCTGTTTCAAAGGCACATCCCTGCTCTGCCTGGGAGTAAATGACCAAAATAAGTGACTGTAGGCACGGCTGGATAGACTGATGCACATTCACACAATGACAACACACACTGCCACCGGTACAGTAGGTACTGTGGTTCCCCCTCTCATCATGGGTATTTTAATCTAAACATATAAGTATTTTCTTGTTGAATTACTTTCCACAAAAAGATCCTCATGTTCCCAACAAGCACTGAACCTGAGGAAAGCTATAGATGTTTTAGATTTAACACACACACACACACACACACACACACACACACACGTACAAGTACACCTAAGGTCTGCTCCCTTTATCAAAAATCAACCTTTGATTGTCTCTCAAAGCTGGCTTCTGATTTTTCTTCCTGTTCTGTGTTTGTGTGGCCTCACGGTCGATGTCTGACTGCTTGCTGAAGAGGCGTTGGAAAAATACAGAGTGACTGGCAGCACATTTAATAATCATGACATTTCCACTGGTCATCACTAGAGGGCACTGTAAGCAACACGACAGCAGGCTTAGGCACCACAAAATACAACATAATACAGAATAAAAAGCATATAGTCAGGCTTGAGCCAGAATTAAGAAAGAAAGCCATTTAAATAATATAGCTAGTGACCTTTTTCTTGAGGAACTAAACACTGATGTGAGTTGTACTGTACGAATAGAACAACTTATTTATTGGAATTATAATACAAGGAAATAAATTAACCTGGGAACAAAAACGACCCCCTTTACTTTTCCCTCCCGAAAATGTCTCTGTCATTTATTATCAGCTGGCTCTCTGTATTCCAGACAGTGGGATAGTGAGTGAAGTCCTCTCTTTCCTTTTTTCCCAAAGCACGATGTTCACTGCTTTAATGGAAGAAGATGGAGGATCTTGTGCAGCAGAGACTGGTGTCTTCTAAGAGTAACCTTTAAAACATCTTTTCCCAAATCGAACTTCTTCCCAGAGCAAACTCTCCCTTTTTTGAGAGAGAAAGGAGTCCTGACTTCTTCCTATTGCTTTTAAGACACATACAATTGGAATGGACCAAAGCACTCTGGATATCAGTCATGTTTTATGGCACCACATGCCGATGGCTTATAAATATACTCCTCTGTCAGGTGTTGGTTTGTGCTGTAGAGACAGACAGGATGCTGTAATCCAGATCTGAGTGACACAGAGGAGAAGAAATGGGGAAAAAAAAAACACACACTGTACAAATCTAAATTTCCCTTGTGATAAGGAGGCAGATCGACCTGCTTCCATGTCTGTGGCTGACGGACAAACAGCCACGATGACCCGTCAGTGGTCAGAAAGAAATGAAAACCTCTCCTGTGGTCTTGTGGCTTGAGATTCATTATGTGTTTGTGGGCTGGCAGATTTGTTGCGTACCGGTCTGACTTTTGCGTGGCATTTCAGAGACTTCTTCCTTTAAGTCACATAGATGTCTCTGCTACCCTCTGCTGTTGTGGGTTTTATTTGGCACAAAAGACTTGAGTCAACTTTCAGAGGAGCAGGGAAATATTTCAAAAAGTAATTGAAAAATGGAACAAAGAGGAAAGATAAATGGCCAGATATCTACTGTAGGCTGTCCCTTAAAAGAGAAACACATCCACAGAGAGAGCAGGGCAGGGGTGGGGGTCTGGGGATTCTTTAAGTTCACATCAGAAAGAGGCGAATCTGGCTTCTTCAGAAAGAGGAGGGAGGGGAAGAGCTTCCTCTTTGTTGGCAATTTTGCGAAAAAGGTTTTGGCACAGCAAGATGAAAGAAAGATCAATTCAGCAACGCTCTTATGGTCCCAGTGGAGAGTAGAGGTCAGTCCTTCATAATCAGATAAATGACACCCATTTTTATGAGTCTCATCCTGAGAAGTTTAACCGAGGATCTGTGGAGATATTACCTGCTGATGTTCGAAGCCAATGGAAGATGGTCGGAGGGTTCAGCATCAGGCTAAGTGAGTCCAACAAGTCTCCACCTTTCTTGTCAGTGTTGATCCCCCCTCTGCCTCTCTGTCCAGACTGTGTGTGCTGATGTATGCTTTTGTGTATGTGCGTGCATGAGTTAAAATGTGCCGGTCGGGGTCAGTTCATGTCGATGGTGTTGAAGACCCACTCTGTGAACTTCTTGAGCTTAGCAGCGGAGGTCTGGGACTCCTCCTGCAGTCTCTGGTTGTCCTCCCAGAGCCTCTTGATCTGAGCCTGAAGTCTCACCTTCTCTTCGCGCTCCTGTAAAAGACGGAGAAAGGTTGGGTAAAAATGAATAAATCAACCTAGTTATTAAGCATTTAACTTCAGGCAAAAATAATGGAGTGCAATGTAGATATCGCAAGATTCAACATAAACACATTACTCTATAAATATAATCAACGGTTTGGTGTTTACATAAACATCTCAGTTCTGCAGACAGTGAGTCACAACCAGATAAAACTTCAGGGCTTTGTGGGTAGATGTTATCAGTTGACATTTTGAATCCGCCAAAAGCACTAGTTGGGTGCATGAACATAAGTATCTAGACAGTTAAAGAAAACACTGTAGCTGTGGAGAGTTTTGCTTCGTGCTGTCAGTCAGCAGCAAGATGATTGCTACTGGCTTGAGGGTGACTGAAGGAGGTGAGAGGTGTCAAACTGATCCACCGCTACTTTAAAAATAAGTAATGCAGACAGTTTAACACTTTCCAGTATTTCACTGACAGCAGTGAACTTACTGAGAATTGCATAAGAAATAAATAACGAGACTGCAGCAATTTTGTGGGAGAAAATTCCTCGTGTTAAAAGGCCAGACTCGTTAACAAGTAGGCCACAAAGTCTGTAACTAACAACGCAATACAGCTCAAACCTTTAAAGGGAACAGAGGGTACAGCGGCAGAAAAACCTTTTAGCTTCCTGTCAGCTAAGAATGAGGTGACAGAGTTTCTGTACACAATCACCAGAACTGAATGGATTAAAAACATTCCCTGGTGCAGAATTTATAAGTAGAATTTGGTGTAAATATGGATCCATCTGGTCTGGGATCTCCACAGTGCTGTGTCAGCGCCGGAGAAAGGTCTGGCTGCACCCATTATCATTCTGCTGCAGGGGGAAAAAAAACTTCTTCAAACCAATCATAATCTTGTGCTGAGTACCCCCCCAACACAACTTAGTGCAAGGGGTAGAGAATGCCGTGTGAAATACGCAACCAGTGGCAGGCTTATACCAGCAGCCTACATCCCGTGATACAGACTCAGAATGTGAGCTGAACGTGAGTGGGAGGATTTTGGATGGGGCGCAGAGCAGATATTTTAAAAAGTGTTGCTTTATCTGCCACTCCAGTTTTGCTCCAGTATGCCCTGCCTGTTTATATCTCTGCACCGGTCAAAAACAGATTTTGCTTCACTGCTCTTTTCTAATCTACTGGAAAGGAGTGCGTGAGTGGATGGGAAACCATTTGAGTCCAAAAATTGTAATAAGCAAACAAGAGCAAACTGTTTCACTTAAATGGTTTAAAATAAAATAATAATAAAATAAAGGTTTGTGGTGAGTGATTGCAGTAAAATCTGAGTCAGCAGACGCAAAACAGTGGCAGCGCACAACAACTGACTGGGTTTGTGTCAGTATTTTCTATTGAAGACAAAATGTTTATTTATCTGCTCCCTACTCCACTGTATGCAAATCAACCAAAGCCTTTCATTTGTCATCCCTACTGGCACTTGAATAAAGAAAGGGAGCCAGGAAATGATCTTTTATCACAACACAGAGCAGAAGCTGTAAACCACAAACAAATCAACTAGAACTCTGCGCATACATGTAGTCTATGTGCTGTATATATGTATATGAATGTGCATATGTTTGCGTTATCGCTCCCACCTTCTTCAGGTCCTCTTGGAGCATCTTCACCATGGCCTCCAGCTTAGTCACCTTCCTCTCCAGCCCTATGTGACCCTCACTGTGGAAAAGAAAGAAACACACACCAATGGTAGGCCTTGTTAATGCACTCAGTAATACAGAGTGGAGAATTATGTTCAACCTAAAAACTCAGTGCAGAACCATGAGAGTACACATTTTAAACTATGTGCCCTCTACCATACTCCTCATGAGTTTACGGTTTATTCAGTATATTTATTCACTGTACCTGTATATTGGTTTATGTTAATCTTTCACATATCAGTCACATTCTGCTCACTCTGTACATTTATTTGTATAGCAGCATACTCTTTGCACTTTCTGTTTAGACGCTGAACTCATTTTCATTTCATTGTACTGGTACTTAATCTAATATGACCCCAAAGGACACAAATATATAACATAAATAACAATAAAAACATTGAGCCAAACAGGAGCTACGTAACAAGAAGACTCATTTAATTAACGGATAGTCTCTTTTGCAGCAGTTATTTATATCTAGAGATGAGGTAGCTATATTATTATTATTTTTCTTTACAAAGTATAGCAGCATGCTCACTTTTACCCTTTACTGTGTCTCGTTTGGCTGCAAACTGAACAAGCTGCAGTCCTGAAGCCACTGGTGTTTCATAGTCTGGCTATATCGCTACCATTCCTGTAACCACAGTCCCTTTCAGGTATTAACAGGGCAGGTTTGAATAAGTATCTAAAATGTAGAAACAAACTGGTTAGCAGTGTATGAGTATGGTGTTACCTAGATGAGGGCCGTGACAGTGGAGCAGGCTGCAGCTCTATGTGGGGCTGTTGAGGACTGGAGGCACCGCTGCTTCGGTGGTTTGAATCTCCAAACACATAACTTCTCTGGACTGGAGGAAGAAAGAAATGGACAAAAGGGTGAAAACGACTCAAAGTTACAAATACAAAGAATCACAAGAGTAACAAAGCCTTTAGACCAATCTGATGTTATCTCTACCTTTATTTCAGGACCATAACATATACAAGTCAAATGCTTGTTTTAGTGAAGATAAAACACATAAAAGGGAAAGACGTGTGCATTTATTAGTAAATGGCAATACCGTAGTGTGTGTTTCTTTCACTACTCTCAAAGGTATTGGCCACATCGACCAGGTGTGTCCACTCTAGGGGGCTGTCCCTGTCTGAAGACGGGAGGGGCATCAGCTCCTGAGGGAGGGGTCCACGATGACGCTCCACCAAATCCACCAATGATGTGTCAGATGCTGAAAGGTCACCTAAAAACAGAATTTAAGTTGTAGAAATATATAGTTTCTATAACCATGTGTATTTTCAATCAAAAGGGGGCAGCAGATACACATCTTGAAATTCAGCCAAAGCATATCTATCACATACCATCAGTTTACAATCAAAACCAAATGACTTTGTGTGGATGTATAAACCTTCTTGTCTTGGACTAATTTCACTCCATGGATAAATGGCACATAAAAAGATCTTTTAAATGTGAATGGAATCCACCTGTTATAAATACCTCTCTGGGCAAGCTATCTACACACTTCTACCTCTTTCTTACCGTGGAGTTTGACTCCCAGCTTATAGGAGGGACGTCGGAGGGGAACACCACGGGTGGTGGGTGAGCGTGGGAGGGTGGAGCAGCTGAAGAGAACATCAGCGCCGAGTGCTGGTTCTGTCACTGAGTCACTCAGGGTAGGAAGGCGTTGGCCACGGTAGATACTCTCGTCTGACAGGGTCCGATGGAGTGAGCGACGGTGACTGAGAGACTGGCCTTGAGGCGATTTCTGGCCGTGCTGCACAGGAGTTATAGGTGGGTGATGAGCAAGTGTTATTGTGAGTCACTAAAAATACAGGATCTGAACCTGTAGACGTACCTTCTCCTTATGTCTGCGTGGTGGTGGAGGGCTGTCTGGGGCACTGTGTCTCTTCACATCTTCCTCCATAGTGGATTTGGCATGTGGCTGGGGCGAGTGCATATCCCGAAGAGAGGGCCTTGCTGCTGGGGTTGGAACTACCTCCACTCCACCCTCTCCTGGAGACTTCCTAAAAAACACATTCACAGATTAAGCAACCACAATCACGAGATAAACGATGTATGCTAAAACTCTTCATTGACAAATTGCATTCAGTTACTGCATCACTGTTAAGCCTTCAGTGTAATATCCTTTTCAACCACAAGGGGGTAATCAAGGAGTATGCATATTATTACTACCAAAAGACATTAATAGGAAAGTACAGTGGGTGGACAAGTAATGGGATCAAATCCAGCCTTATACAGCAGTCCTACAATAAATACTATCATTGTAAAGCTACTAACATTCAATTTTGTCACCTCAATATATACACAGGTAAATTCCATCATCACCACTGACAGTCTCAACATAAATGTGACATTATAAGCTTTACAAATGGAATTTGGTTGGGCATTAATGTGACTGTGAATAAATTGCATTACATTGTACAAGCCCTTGTGTACATTTGTCCACTCCCTGCAGGAATTGGCCGGTTTACAGAAATAGACCTCAACCCTGTGTGTCTCTGGTTCAGTTCCATACTGTCACAAACTACAGCTGTGATGAAAGACATTCACGTCTAATGTGAGCACTGTAGGCAAACTGTTACAAAACCACACATGCCAGCACCAACCAGGCCCAAATCTCTGGAGAAACTGAATGTTGAGATGACACAGCTTTTTAATGGGCCACATATTGCAATAACTCTTGTGGCACCATTAACACCATACTACTTAGAGGATGTGTGCAACTGCGTGTGGTTTGAATCCACAGCTGGAATGGGAACTAAAATTATAGACCCACTTTATTGTTTTCCAATTTATTTATTTTTTTTTTTCTCTTTCCTTACTTGCGTGTGTCTCCAAAGTCGACAGAATTGATGGTGGAACCGGGCTTCCTCCAGCCAATCAGGTACTTGGACTGAGCTCCCTGGCGGGGGTAGAAGCTCTTGGGCCCAGGGGATGCCGAGGACTGGGATGAAGGGGAGGTGGCCGAAGAGGACGACTCCTCTCTTGGGGAGCTGTGGCCTGAGTGCCTGGCGCTGATGGAGGGAAGAGGATGACAGGGGTTACTCATCATGCAATGCCCCACAAATAAGACAACCGTAGGCACTGATGTAAGAAGTATACAAGTTGCATCACAATCCTGGGTTTGAAAACCATCTTCAGGGAATGATAGGTTTCTGTTATGGACTACCCAGATCTCTTTACCGTTTACCGAGGAGAATCTAAACATAAGAAATTAATTTTGCTCTTAAGGTCAAGCATTAATAAGTAATTATTAGTGTAACATTCTAATGAAGGAAGGAATTTCCAGGGAGGACATACATTATTGAGTTATACTATAGATGGAAAATTACATCCAAGTATCACCTGTGCTCAAGCCAACCTTAGCAAACACATTTCAGAGCCTTATCTTATCTCCACTCTGCCACTATGATAGAATACAAATGTATCTCAAACGCTGGACAGATGATATCAGGGTCATGAACTGTAACTCTATCTGAACGGGTGAATTAAGACTTTCTCAAACAGGAAGAGCGAGACGCTGGAGTTCTCTCAGCTCCAGACACGAGTTCAGCTATGAAAAGTTGGACACATGTTCTACATTTCCGGAGGCCTAATGTGGAAAGATAAGAGAGTTAAAATTACTCCCGTGCTTGGTTTTCAGGAAAGACTTATTGAGAAGGAGGTGGTCTAGTGTGTGTTGTGGGTGAAGAAATATTAGCTTGAGTAATGAGAATTGGAAACATGCCGCACAGGTCAGGCAAATACTGCGATGATAAATGACAAAGTAGCATATTTTAGGATTCTATTGACTTTGTGGGTGTGGCTATTGGTCAACTGTTTGTGTTTCCTATCAAGGTGACAGAATAATACTAATAATGATGATGATAATAATAATAATAATAATAATAATAACAATAACAATAACATTATTATTATTATTATTATTATTATTATTATTATTATTAGTTATTATTATGTATTTATTTAAAATAGGAAGGCTTTAATGTATTCCTAGATATATGTTACTGGGTTTTATCATCCTACCCTTGCCATTTAACATTTTTAACTGTGCTTTATTTTATTTTTTATTTTATGATCCCTGTGTTGTTTTTATTTGGCTCTTCTTTATTAGCTGTTTATCTGTGTGGTTTTATCTGCTTTTTTCCCCTTTCCTGTGTAGCACTTTGTAACCTATAAAAAGTGGTATATAAATAAGAGTAAATAAAGTTTATTATTATTATTATTATCTATAGCACAATGATTGTTTTCACCTTCTGCTTTAAATGCTGATTACCTCAGCCTCAGGGAAGATCGTAATTCTTTCAGGGTAAACAGCTCTTTAAGATTGGTAAGTTTGAGCAAGAACTTGGCCCAGTTTGCATTTGTTAGGCCTCGGGGATACACAATGCATTTTGGGGAGAAACACTGAATGTAAACTTAACTTTTTTTAATTTAAACTCCACAAATTAAGGGTAACCCTTAATAGCCAATTAATATCTAACCATTAGCTATGCGCTGTTTAACAAAAAAGAGTGAATCCCTCCTCCAACTATTTTATGTCTGTCTTAACTTATTAATAATATTCAAACCACTCAAATTTATCTTGCACGCCCACCAGGTTTTATAACCACTCCCTCAAAAACAACATGGCACAAATATCAACATATCAACACAGAAACACCCAAACAGACCTCGAGTGTGATCCAGTGTCACTCAGACTGTAGGTGCTGCTGTCTCTAACTAGGAGATGGGTAGGTGGGGTTCGGCCCGTCCCCTCCAGACTCCTTTCTCCTGGAGGGCCTGGGGACTCGGCGGCAGCAGGCGACCGCTCCAGCATCCTGCGGCCTCCCTCCGTGGGGCTATGCCATGGAGACACTGACCGTTCCCTGCTCTCTCTGCCTCCACTGGGAGCCAGCAGGGAGGTGGTGCTGCCATGATGAGAATGGGGGTGGGTGTGGTGAGGGGCTCCATAAGAGCTGGTGTCGATGCCGCTGTCGGCTGATGCGCCCTGGAGATAGCCTCCTCCTCCCAGGCCGTTTGGCTCTGTCTCACCCTGGTCACCACTGGAGCCTCCACCGGCTCCCAGTTCGTACCATTTATCACTGTCACTGTGGCCCCCACTGGAAGCTGTACTGGATAGAGTATTACTGCTGGAGTGCCCGGAGTAAGGGCCGTCCGACTGCAGGAGCAAACAGGAAGTGGAAGAGGGAAGGGAAAGGACAGTTGAGGAAGGTTTCCATGTTAGTAAAAACATATTTTGGTCATTATTTGGTGATCACCACTTTATTCAAACTACTTTAAAACATCATTATTAGCTATGCAAACAGAATGAACTTAAAACTCTATGCTAGCAGAAAAAAATCTTAAAGAATCATCTGTGCCAAAGGATTTGAAAAAGTTACAGAGAATTAATACTGAGAATTAAGGCTGACCTGGCTGCCCTTCTTCGGGGACAGGTGGATGACTTGCTCCTGCCTCTGGATTCGGGGAGCTCCAGAATAGCCTTGACCTGACTTTGAAACTGGGGCCTCTGCAAGACATACACCAATAACCACAGCTGGGGTTGGTGACAAACGCATGCACAGACCATACAGTACAAATAGATAACTTGTTGATGAATCAACAGAGAAGGGGTTCTCTCTGCTCACTTATGTGTGTTTTGCTATGACAGCACTCATGCTTCCAGGAGACCCATAATGCTGACATTGTTTTCATTCTGCCTCTGTCGTGTCCATGAACAAAAAACACAGATCACTTGTCATCAAAAGCAACACACATCAAACAGAAGTGTGTCCCCAGACGGTCCCTGCTGGCTTTGTTTGTTCTGGGCAAGCTGTGCCGTGTGAGGGAATGTGCGTATGTGTCCTGAAGCAAAACTCGGGGCATAAATGGGACTGTTGTGTAATTGTCTAGATGTTATGCAACAAGACATACAGAGTACGCAGTTAATGACCACAGCACCATGAGAGGGAGAGCTAAGGGAGGTATCATAACATCTGCTGGGTGAATCTAGTAATGTAGTGAACCCCTCCATATCTCACTTAGAATATTCATTACTTTGCATAGTTTTCTCTCTCTCTGCACAGCGGCCCATAGGGCTCTCCGCTCTAATTAGAGATGGTTGCACGTGTGCATGCCTGCTTGTTTGAGTGCCTGTGTGTATGTGTATATGTGGCAACATTTTTGTGTGCAATGTTTTTTTCGTTTCTCAAGAGTTGTTATAGACGTGATTGGTCAACCAGATGTCTTGGTATGAAAAGCCTGAGAGTTCGTGACAAACCAAAAACACGATTTCCCAGCGCCTTGGGTTAATGTGTGCACTCTTGTAGGCATTGATGAACTAAAAAAAACTGTTAGGGTATTTAAGAATTGCTGTGCATAGGATGGAAAGTCATGACAAATAGCATTTTTCTGCATCTTTCCACCCAACGCATGAATTAATCATAAACCTGCCACAGGATATCAAAAGTAATTTGGAGAAAATGCTTTGTTAAATGGTAGACGAACAGGAAAACTTGATGCACTCATTACTCTAATGCAAAACCTTGTGTAGACTATATTAAGGGCTATGATAATGCCCTTGTTGTTTATGACAGGAATTGAGGGACAAAAAGTAAAAGCAGTATCCTGCCCTCTGCATGACTTGTGTTATTTCTGGACAGAGCATGGCCACATCATCATTGCTGAAGACTAACGGGTCAAGGGGGTAAAAATGAGAGGAAGAGGAAAGAACAGAAACATAAACCACAGAGACAGTAAAGTAGACTGTGTTGGGCTGGACACTTGGCTGACAGAGGCCAAGCTGGCCCAGCCTGCATTGTTACACCCTAACCAATAAAGACATAAGTGCTATAAACAACCACAAAATGAGAGACTATGGCCTAGCTCTGTGATTGTGGCGGTCAAGAACAGGTTGAGGACACGGCTGAAAGTAGGCTGGTCAACAATCAACCAAAGCAACATCCTGCTGGGAATCAGAGGAGCGGTGGAGGAGCATGTAGTCTTTATGGCTTTCAGAGGCCGAGCTGGTAAACAAGAGGAAAACTCCCAAAAAAACAGTGCATGGGAGAATACTCATAATTAAATGGAAGCAATGAAAGCCAATCTACAAGAAAATAAAAAGATGAATGAGAGGCAAACATAAGTGGCAGTGGAGAATGAGGAACTGGCTGGAGGGAGGCCGGGAGGGAAGGAAAGGCACACAAACAGAAGGCTGGCCAACACTGTTGACAGGAAATAAAAGGAATTTCTCCGCCTTTCTATTTCTCCTTTATTAAACCTTATATAATGAGTGAAAAGTGACATAGAAAAAGCCTTATACTTTAATTTAGATCACTGTTTGATCTCATTTCCATCATTCAACTATTCTATTTTCTATTTATGTTTGTCTCATTATCTTCTCCCTTTCCCTGTTTGTTCACAGAGACATTAAGACCTTCTCCGTGAAAGCAATATAATTCACAGTTTTCAGAAGAGGAGGAGGAAGAGGAGGGGAAGGGGGATAGGAGTACTGTTTAGAGGCAGAGTGGATGCTGTCAGAGTTGGTATCTCAGCTCTGGAAGGTGCTGCTCAAAAAACTGTCACTAGCAGATGAGGAGGTACACATATAAACCACACACACACACACACACACACACACTCTTCTGGATACCTCATTTCAAAGGGTTTAGAAAAATATGTTTTCATATGGATGATTTATTTCCTGTGCTGTCCCTACCTCCCCCGCATCACGTCAAGAGTCACGTCCCCTCACATTCCTCCCATATACACATAAAAATACACTTAGATCGCTGAAAATATTAGAATCTACTATGAGTATTAAGCCACTGCACCTTGCTCTCTTACTACATTTACTGGATTAACTAACTATATTAATTTGTCCTCCATGCCATATATTCACCTGTTGACCCTCGTTCACCTCCACCCCCTTCCTCCATTCTCGACCAATTGGGAGTGGACTTTCCACTGGACCCGCCTTCTCCAACCGCCTCTCGTCTCTCCGTAGACATCGGAGAGTGGCGGTTGCCCACAAACCTGGGGAATGAGCACACAAGCACAAAATGAGAAGACTTTTTGTTCATCCTTTTTTATCATCTAAATGTTTCCACTGATTAAAAATGCAGAACTAGAAGAACTGTCAGAATGACAGAGTTTGAAACACAATACATTTCCCCACAGGCTGCAGTGGGAGGAAGTAAAAAAAAAAAGAATAAAATAAAAAGATGTTCTGTCAGGAGCATTATCATACACAAAGACACTCAAATGCTATCACCTCACTCTCCTACACCAGCATCATACACAGTTACAACTGTCAAATTAATCTAATCTCAAGCCAACTTTTAACTTAATGTAAAACAAAGAATAGTCTTCCAAGATCAGTGATTTTATTGCTTTTCGTTGCACTTTAAAGATGAAAACTGAGACTAACTATAATACATCATACATAAAAGACAAACAAATGTGTTTCTATGATTAATAATTACATAAAAAAACATGAAAAATGAATAAACAAAAGAAAGTGCCTCAAGGCAGCAAAAAACTTTTCTGTGAGACTGAGATTTGTTGCTCTTCAGAAATGATATATCATTTGCATAAAAATACTCTGAAACAAACCCAGCCACAGACTAACACAATCCCACTCCCCCCTCTTCCTTACTGCTCAGGCATGGACTTCTGTCTCCAGTGAGCAGAGCTTCCAGAGGTGTCACTGGAACAAGACAGGTTGCTGGGAGAGCTGCGATTGTGAGGGGAACGACCCAACGCCAGGGAGGAGGCCAGGCTATAGCTTTCACTGCCGGGAGACATCCTGGTATACGAACAAACACGTATACACAAAGGAACTGTAAGAATTTGCAGGCACATGGAAATGGAGGAACTAAAGGAAGATGAAATAAACAAAGCAAAGCATTGTAGGAGCAAAATGTTCTAAGTTGTTCCTTCAGAGGAAATTCCACTGATGCTACTTTGTGGTCACAGTTCCCACGCAATCAGGATGAAAAAAATTACATGAATACTTAAAAGCTACTGTTTAGAAACCAGCTACACACACCCAATAGCTGCATCTTGTGTGCTTTGTTGATACACTAGCTTGATTTTTGTTATATACAAAATATGAATGAATGTGAAAATAACGACAAAACAAACAAATACTATAATACTCCCCCTAATACAAATATTAGATTCCAATTTTTTATATTTAAAAAGCCAAAGGGCTCTGACCTCTTGGTGTCCAGGGGTCGACCATCACTGCTGACACTGCGTGGGATGACAGCGCCCCTCTCCAGCCTCTCAGCTGACAGGGTCTTCCCCACTGAGCTACCCAGGCTGATGGCACGGTTGGGCGTGTGGGGCTGTGGTGAGGCGGTCAGTGACTGCTGAGGGCTGCTAGACGTCCTCTGCCACTTGTTGTTGTTGCTGCGGAACGGGAATTTGTATTCGAACGAGCCGCTATCGCTGCTGCTGCCCTTGTATTCGGACACAGGCATCCGATAGAGCTCTGAACAGCCTCTGTAGAAGGGGAGGAATGACATTTTGTTTGAGAAGCAAGTGTTGTTTGTGTCAGTGCGGGTTCACATTGCTTTTTTCTTGGCAGTAATTGAGGAGGACTTGGATTTTGGATTTGTTACTTTTTAAAATATCCAGTGACACAAATAAAACATGCTATGTTAATTGGCTAGGCGCACTAGTATTTTATCTAAAGGTAACGTGACTCCTGATGCACTGAACAATAATTGTGTTTACTGTCTCTCCGGATAACGAATCTAATATATTAACAAACAAGTGGTTAGCATAAGAACCTAAAGCAAACAAATGACGTCCCATCCCCACCTACCTGCGTGGAGTGGCATCATCATGCGGTGGGATGATAACAACCCGCACTGTCACTGAGGTCCGCAGGAGGTCAATCATCTGCTCATGGGTCAGCGTTGCTACAGCAACTTTGCAGATTTCTACCAATCGGCTTCCCTGCCGCAGTCCGGCCTGCCAGGCGTAACCATATGGCTCCACCTATAAGTAACAAAGTTTGCATTACAGCTGCAGGTAAGATGATTCACTCTCCAAACAGTATAATATCCAAGCTAGGGAGTGTCCACATATGCCATCACGTGGTTATATGATGTAGTTTTCTCCATTGAAAAAATACATAAATTGCCATTTGTTTTCCTATTATGGGATTTTTGTATGTCTATTTAAACAAACAAAGCTGTAGATGCACATTTCTAACTGAAACAGGGAAAACAAAAAGGTTTGCATCTCAATTATTTCAATACCAATCATGATTTCAAGAATCATTTTGACTTCAAATATAGGTATTTTCCTAACCTGTGTTGTTTAGCATGAAACATGAACAGAATTCTGTTACTCTGATGGCCAACAAGACAACTGTGTCTACCTACAGGGTGTAACAAATGATCTACAGTCTCTTGTCATTACCAGTAAACACTTAAAGCTACAAAAAAGGAAAAGCACCAATAAAATGAAAACACAAGGCCATATCATCACATTAACAGGTAGACTAATGGCTAATAAAACATATTTAGATCTGCTATATAAAGATTCAACCAATGAACTAGATTTTTTAGAAGAACATTCAGGTTATGTTCAGAAAGATACCTCAGCCACGATGCCTTCATAGTTCACGTGGAAGCCGAGCTGCCCGAGGCCATTTCGACGGAGTGTCATCTCTGATGTTTCACAGCCCTTAGTCAGGAACTGGACATGGGGAGGGCAGAGAGATGCACAAAGCACAGATGAAAGAAGAAGTGACAGGAATGATCAGAGGGGAGATGATGGGGGGGGGGGAGAGAACAGGTCAAGAGGTGTGAGGAGAAAAAAATGAACCGAAAAGGAGGAAGGTAAAACAGAAAAGGAAAAAACAGAGAGAAAGAAAAAATATTATTTATATTATCTCTTTTACATCACCAGTCGAAGTCGCACAACCAACAAATACTATACTTATGTGTAGAATTAGTTGCTGTCTAATAGAACACTGGGACAATTAATGTGATAATCTAAGTCTGCATTTGTCTAAGTCTCTAAGTATGTTCAATGAATATGTACACATGCACAAGAGAACAACTTAAGTGATCCCTGAGAGATTTAGGGCCATAAATAAAGATCAATTAGTGCTCCAGCATAAGTGGTACACCTCTCACTAGATGTGCACGCTCATGCATTCACACACACTCGAGAGACGACAGAAATGAAAGCAGGTGGCTCTTGCTGTGACACTTTAGGCTGTGTTCACAGAGATGTGTCGCTTAGGAGAAACACTTTTGAACTTCATGGTTTTTCATGGAAGGATGTGGCTCTTAGCATTCAGGAGGGGTGGCTTTAAAGCGGCTGTGCTTCTTTTTCAGAGCGAGTGATGTGGAAAAAGTTGAAAATAGTTAAATGTTTAAGGAGAGGCAGCTTAGGTCATCTGTCAAATTGTAAAAGGCAACCAATGAGTTGACAAAGGATCTGGTAAAACCAATTTCATTGTGGTTGGTCACAACTCAGCCCTCTCTTTATTCCCTCTAGTGATGTGCCTGGCAGCTTCAGGGCACCTTGCATTTCTCTGTCTGAACAGGACGTTAGCAAAAGCTCTACAGAAGTCAAACTCTCAGGGAAGCGTGAATAAATCATGCTGCAGACTGGCACCTGATAGGAATTGTTATGATTCTCTGTGATGTTTCTGAATGTGTGCGTGGGAGAGGAAGAGAGTACAAGAAAAAAGGGAACGATAAGGAGCAAACGAGGAGGAAAAAAAAGAGAGCAAAGAGAGGAGAAAGAGAGATATACAGAGAGAGAGAGACGAGTTCCAAACAGCGTGTGGCCCAAGGCCACTTCCCTTCCTCTCTCTGGCACTGAGGGAGTCCAAATGATTGAAGATTAACGCCAGATGCAAACAAATGCAACATGAAAAGTGATACATTTCTGAGACTTGAGCCAAATAACGCTGTGTGTGTTAAATATTGTTAGTATGCATGTGTGCAAATCAAAGATGGTGCACTCAATCGAGGTTACATAAATACATGATAAAAACCACACACACACACACACTTTGAAGGTAGGGAGAGGCTTGGGAAATGAATGCATTCTAAAGCACTGATGATTACATAAGAAAACACCTTTTTTTCTAACTAGTTTCCATGGAAACAGCTAAGGAAGAGCTAGCACCATTTCACTGTATGTGTAGGTGTATGAGCCATTAGGAGTACGTTGTCCAGAGGTGTTTCTGAAACTCCCCCAATAAGCTGAGACCAGTAATGAGACAGCAGCTTTGGCATTTAGACACAAAAATGTTGTCATTCTGGCAGACTGACAGCCGACAGTAAATAGTAGGAGAGACTGTGAGTGGGCCAGGTAAATGATCAATGGCAGCCAACAGCGTTTTGGTCCATTGATTTGGTTTCTTAGTACTTGTCTGCACATGAATGAATGTTTGTCACCTCAGGCATTCTTTGGTCTTATTCAGAGTCTCCCAACAACCACATGGAGTCTGGCTTAATTTTGGCATGAGTTGTGCCACCCATTTGGTTACAGGAACTAAACCTCATTCGGTTGACACTGGCAAACTATATTATGTCAGTTCTCTTGGAAAATAAACCTGGCACCAACTGACCTAATTTGATTCTGGATGTGTAGTTGCCATGACCTCAGCTATGACAGCAGAGGACAGGAAGACCCACAAATGTCAGTGATTGATATAATTGTGAAAATATATCACATAATTACTTATTAAACATATTACAAGCGAGAACAGCCGTTCTAATTTTATAAATTATCCAAGCATGCTGAGCACACAACAGCCAGTCTTATCACATATGCAATGTATTGGTGTGTGTGTATTCTAACCTCTAGACGTTTGACCACCTCCTTGAAATCCTCAGTGTTATTACTGATACTCCTCAGAGACACACTTTCTCCGCGCTCGTAGAAAATCCGCAAAGACGCAGGGCTGCTCAGCATCCAGCCAATCACGTCCTTAGTTGCACAGTTGAACACCACAGCCTTGGCCTCCTGGTCCAGCAGGATGAGAAAGTCATTGGAGATTGCCAGAAGGGCCTCCAGTTCCCCTCCGGTCCCGTGATCCTCAACATGGACTGGCCAGGTTACTGCCCCCAGGCTGCGCAGCTCTGCCCCTACATATGGCCGGCTTTTCTCTTTTTTCTTGTGGGCCAGTGAGATAAAAGGGAACTTTCCCGAGGGGTCGATGGGCGTGCTGGTGGTGTGGCGCTCAGCCAGGTCGCGCAGGTACTCCTGCCGCGTTCGGGTGGCCATGGCACGGAACTTGTGTGACTTGTGGGCAGCATTTTCTGCATTGATGACCTTGGCCAGCAGGAAGTCCCGGAACACAGAGGACTTGGGAAAGGTCACGCCTTCTGGGATAAGGGGGCCGAAGGAGGGCACATCTTTGGAACGAGTGACCGCCACACTACAGGGAGAGCAGAACAGGAGGAGAAAATGAAGTGAGAGGAGAAAGAAGGAAAAGGGGAATAGAGAAGAGAAGAATTGATGGTTAACTTGTTCCAGTATTGACCAACAATTTGGTTTAAGGAGGGTATTTTGGGAGGGTATTTTTTTCCAGACGTCATAGATCCTGTGGCTTAAATTCAGTGTTTTATTACACAGTAAATCTCAAAATGTCACATCACATTCAGACTTAAAGTATTTATTTCACTAAGATTTAAAAGTACCAAGAGAGTTTATGTTATATAATTTATATGATATATATATATATATATATATATATATATATATATACTCACTTAAGAATAGGAGCAAAAAAGACACTATTCTCGACTTCAAATTGGTTGTTTACTGCTATCTTTATCTGTCGAAATGTTGTTAATAAAATAACTAACAAATTTGCTATCATGTGGAGGCTATGTGTATTTGCTTTTTCCCTAATATTGTAGCATGTACTTCATTAACGTGTCCTGTACCTCCCTGTTTTCAATGCTCTAAACCTCCCTTCTCCTCATCCCCTTTTTCCTCTCATTAAGTCCCTGGAATGGCCATTTGAGGCTGTTTGCCCTGTCTGGTATGTCAGGAACTCAGCTGAGCAGCCATGGAGAGGAAGGAGAGTCGAGGAGGAGGATGAAGGGAGAGTGATATTCCAAATCTCCTGCCCAAAGCCCCAGAAAACCCAGAGTGAGGGAAAAGGAAACGTGGCTAAGGAAAGGAGGACTGTGTGGGAGTCTTTGAAAAGACAGGGAAATGATTGCTTACTGGGGGAAAAAAATCATTTTTTTTCTGTTATGTGAGACAAACAGACTTACAACCTGATCTGTGGAATGTCTCAGTCTGAAGTGGCTGACAAAAAAAAAAAAAGAGTAACAGTGCCCTGAAATGGCCTTGTATACACCCAAATAAAACACTATATCTATAAATGGATCACCTGTCGTAGTCTCAACCTCTTCTTGACCTAATGAGCTCAATCACAGATCCTCTCTCAGGTGATAATTACCAGCTGACAAGAGTAGCACTGGAAGTCAGAACCCTCATCCCACACAACTTCCCTGCTGACATGCATCAGCACACATGTTGACACCAGGATTAATCGCTTTGTCTAATAAGCAACTAAAGTCAATATGTCACCCACATATTTCTAAACATACCTCAGAGGAACCCCGTCCTCACCGGAGACGTGTGGTGTTCAATTATACTAACCGTCAAATAGTTGACACCTTATTTCCCACCTTTCCTTGTTTGTGGTAGACAGAGGTAAAAGAACAAACTTTTTGCCTTCAAGATTGAACACACAGACTTTTATAGTATAGTGTTGATATATGAATGCTGGGAATACCCTCCGTAGCTGCTTGGTTTTCCCACAAGGCATGTGTAACTGAAGTCTTATGGACAAAAACAAGAAACAGGGAAGAAGGTAATGTGTACGTGTGTAGGTGGAAGGTCATACAACATTTAACTTGCTTGTGTATTTTCAAACAGATCAATAAAAACTGCATCACACTGTCGATTCATAGTTAATCTAATACATTATGCATTGCCTTGTTTGTTTATTTCTGACTGTTGGATTTCTTCCATCTTGATTCCATATTATGCCACATTTGAAAAAGTGAAAGAAAATGACTTTGTCCCTAGAGGTTGAAAGGCATTACTATATTTCTCTGTGGCTCTAAAAAGCCTGTATTTGAATATATAATCAGGCATACAGTGTCCCATGTACTACATGCAGTGAGTACAAATAGTTGATTCAGTTAGTGAGTTGTAAGTGTGTGCTGACACACACAACGGTGGAGCCCTAAAACAAAATATATTTGATTTGTAATCAGATCAGCAGTTTGAAATGAGATTTTAAATGCTCTTCCCCAGTCGTTTCCATTAGACGTACAAAGAACATACAAATACTAGAATGTTCTACGTTCTAATTAATGTGTAAAGCGGCTACAATCAATATTTTTATATTAACAATGAATCACATGACTGTGTGTATGTGGAAGGAGTAACTGTTCGTGATGAACCCACTAACAATTACCATTGGACTTTGCAATTCCCCTCTCCATGGAGCTCTATAGCGGGTTTCAGCCCATTGTTTTTGTTTTCTGGCTTGCAATATTGTTTTGGTTCACTCTCACTGTTCTCATCAGTGTTTGTTTCCAGCTGAAGCTGATATTTTCCAGCAAAAGCTCCACAAACCCACAACAGACTACGTGCCCAGCACCAAATGACAGACAGACAAAATTAACGACTCCCTGGTGAATATAGTGGCGCATCAAGCACCAAAGATATTTTTCTTGGTTGGTGGAGACCAAAATTAGCTAAAAGGAGAGTGAATATTAGACAAAAAGACCTAAAGACAACTCAAAGCTTAATGCTAATGTTACTCTGCACCTGCTAGATGTGTAAATAAGCAACTGCCTGCTAGCAAATCAACATAATGATACTATGACAAATGATAATATGTCAGTGTTGTGTTGTACTGAACGAAAGTGTCCAAAAAACAAACAAACAGTTAATGTAGTTTAAAATGCCACTCAATATGGCAATCTACTGTACCAAAGTTTTACACTATTGATAATTTGATAGTTGATACTGCAACACCCAACGTGTGTTAGTGTGCTACAGACATGTTTGGCGCTACATTGGCCTGTTTAATTCTATTAGGCAGCTCTCCCTGCAAACTGTAAGTACTGTAGTTAAAACACTATATATATATATATAAAATGCTAAAAAAAATTATCTATTGGCTATTGGCGTAAAAAAATAAATAAAATTTAGCTAGTTTTAACTTTGCAGCATTCTTTTTACAATTTCTTTTAATAAAATCTGAATTTTAAAATTGACAGCCAATAAATACAAAAAGTGACACAGTCTGGGAGGTAATATTCACCTGCTTTTCTGTAGATGACAAATGAATCATGATAGGTATTTTAGAGAAGAGCAGCTAAAGTGGTTATAAGCAGGCTGAACAAATGATTAAAATAAAATGTGACCTTTTATTCTTATTCTTCTGCATCACTACAAACATCACTCAATACATTACACTGTGGCTCTAAAAGCACTTGTTCGGATCTCAAACACCTGTGAGTCAGTCAACCAAAGACCTGTGACTCATGCAGGACAGAGGGAAGTGATGGAGAGAGAGAAAGGGGGTAGGGGTATGAAAGCAGGAGAACAAGACATAGAAAGCATAAGAAAAAAAGTGAATGAGAAAAAAAGAGAGATTGAGTGAGAGAAGAGGTTGAGGGTGAGGGTGAGGGTGAGGGTGAGAGAGAGAGAGAAAAAAAGGAGAATATAGTGCAATAGGGATTGCTGGACTGTGTGGCTGCTGTGTGATCCGCATGGCAGGAGGTTTGGCAGTAAAAAATGAAAGAGCACATTCCTGTGGTTTCAGTGATTTGTGGTCTTATAAATATCCAGTGTGTGGGCAGCTCTGCTCTTCCAGTATCTACGACCTGCTGCCCACTGAGCCAAAGCAAGAAAAAGAACGTGTCAATACCTATTGGAGTGGGTGGCTCAGAGGTGTACTGTATGTATGTGTGTGGGCGTGGGGAAGGTTACATATATGTTTTTGTCTACTTGTGACAACTAGTCAATTTATGTTTTACAGTATTTACATACAGTAATGTGCTCTAGAAACTGGAACAGATGTAAGAGATCAGGGAATTAATTTAGGAAAACATATACTGTATATTCACAGGACAGAAAATGGTTGTTTCAACCTTTGAATGTTAGAAATTTTGTGAGGCTAATACCTACAGACCCTGAAATTGATGATTATGGGAATTGGGGTTTTCTATTTTCATTTTTATGTACAGGAGACTGCACAGAGAAGATGAATGTGATGTCACATGAAACTGTTGAGTAATCTTTCACACCATACAAAACATTGGGATTCACATTCAGCTCAGTCATACGGTCACTATTACCTCACACTACACAATTCTTGTTTTTCTGGTTTAGCAATAGTCTCATAAGTGTGGTGATGTGTCAATGTGGAAAAAAAGAACTGCACTGGCATTGAAGACGTGGATATGTTTACTAGACCTCCCATTAAAAACCATTTGGGCTGCAGTCATCAAGACTTCATTATATAACAGTGGTTTTTAAAGTTGTTGGGATTAACAGACAATTATACTAGACACTAAGAGTTAGAGCAGTTAAGAAATAACAATGGCCTGGTTCACTACACTTGTAACAGTTGGGAAAAAATGTAAAATTGTGTTTTGGTATAAAACATCGACACATGCAACTCCAAATTAAACAGACCTTTTCTATTCCAGATCAGAGCAAACAACTGATTGACCAATCAGTAAGCAGTACAGTTATCCTTAAGTCCTCAAATGCAGGCAAGTCAGAGCAGGTGACAGGGTTTCTGTATTGTTCAAGACTTACTTGATTTACACTTACTTTACTTTTTAAGACCTGTTTTATAGCAAATAGAATGTGATTTAATACCTTTTTCACAGTTAACATACTGTTAACAAACGACAAACCCTGCAGGGAAAATAAGGCTCACAATGTCAATAAATTCATACATTGACATTAATATCACATCTTTCCCGGTAATATAAACAATAATTTCAGTAAATAACAATAATACCCCACGCTGGGGGTTGCCTTCCATGGAGTCTGCTGTGTTCTATTTAGGGGCATTTACGTTTTTCACAAGTTTTGCGGCCACCATAGTTTCACCTTTGTGCTTAGAAGAGTTGAAATATGCAATTACACTGTTAAATGCCACTAAATCCTACGCACTGGACCATGATCCGTTGTCAGGACATAGACCCAAATAAGTGGCAGAAAATGAATGGATGGATTAACCAATTAAAAATTATTAATTAATTTAAGTTCATATAAATCTTTATTAAACTGGACCCCACTGTGAGTCGATGACCTATCCAGGTCCTTCTGTGTCTACAAGTAGCAACAGGGTTTGCTATAAGTCTGATCGTGTAGACTCCACAGAAAAAGATTAAACAGCCTCCTGCGCGCAAAATTCACTATCCTTTGTTCTCAATTGAAGTTTATAGATGTATAATGTCCTCTAACAGCCCACAATCACAAAAAAATGTTCTACCTAATGCTACTGTCCAGAACACGCAAGAAAAAAATATTCAAGAGCGGCAACAAACAGAGAAAGGACAGAAAAAAAAGGAATTAAACAAAAGGATGGACAGCAAGCAAGCAAGAAAGAATCAGTATCTTTATCTATGAAAACAAAGACGAATATTTTTTAATACTCATACTATAATATACTATAATGTCCTTTAAAGGAGTGCCATGGTTCTAATAAGGATTTGGAATCACTATGTTTAAGAGCAGAGCCATACTAAATAGAACGAGTGCTAGAGTGCTATATTTCCCTGCCCTGTGTGCATGTAAAAGTCCTCTGGTGCCAGCAATAAACACACCAAAGCTTCAAAAGCAACCCCTAATACATTATATGACTCACAGTCAAATTCCCTGTGGTCTCTACAAATTATAATTTACTTCTGAAACCTGAAGTTTTACCTCCTCCTCCTACCTATAGTGAGTGTGAAATTAGTTTTCACTTCAAGAAACTTAATTCACATTTGTGAATCACAGAAAGCACGTGTAAATAGTATTTGCTCTATATTCACTCTGTTGCTGAGCGCATTGTTTGTGTGTGTTTTGTTGCTCAGTAACGAAGTAGCCCCATGGGGGACAATTAAGACCTCACACAATGTGCTCAAACAGCAATTAAAACAGCCATTAGTGAGAGAGGGAGGAAAAGTCATAGAGAGCAAGATAAGAGGGAATGACAGAAAACTAGATAACAAGACAGAGGCAAGAATAAACCAAGTATGAAATGCCCTTCACAGCTGAACAGGAAATGGAGGAAAGGCAGAATATTCATTATTTCTTAAAAAATAACTCAGAGCTGGCACTTTGTATTTCATATTACACATCTCTGACAATGTGGTAATAAATCGTGAGCCGTAGAGAGGGCTCTCAACACTCACAGCCTACTCTATGATGGAGTGATGGAACTGCAAAGGCAATGAGAGATGTACAGCATTTTGAAGCATAAGAGCATCATTGTTTCAGCTGCGATGGGAAAATGATTCATGAGGAAAAGTCATGGGCATTTGGGAAAGTCCAATTTATGTATCTAGAATTTTTCAAAACACATCTACTGTGCTGGCTTATATATGACATACACATTAGAAAACACCACTATGGCAAGGGTCGCGTTAACTTAATATATTTTGTCACTGAATGAATGTTTTAACAATGATCTGAAGCCTATAGCTTAGCTATTGCAATATGTCACGGCAGCTGAGTATCCAAAGTTTCTTTAGAAAACACAATAATTGTGATGTGGTTGATAAATGAGGTGAAAAAAGAGGGA